AACTATGTAGAGGTAGTGTGTGTATTTGCAGTGGGTCTTGAAGGAAAGATTTTGATAAGCGGAAGTTGTCAGTATACTAATTCACTTGCATTCATTGAGTTCTGATGATATTTTAGAATGAACAAGAATGAGAAGTATCTTAATTCCCTGGCAGAAAACAGTATTTTTGGAGTCCCTTGAATAATGTAAACTGTTTTCATCAAAGACCTTCATTCATGTGTGTGCTGACATCTGGAGAACAGAGATAGATATTTTCCTTAGGTCTGGATTCGTGAGCTATAAACTCTTCCCTTGCTCCTAATTAATCCTTTGTAGTTACTGACTGATGAAATCATGACTCTATGAAATTTTAATCCTTGGGTGTAGAGGCACAACTGAGTTTATCACAGGACCCCAGGTGTGTGTGTCTGAAATGAGTGTTTTGAATCTAACTGCATATTTGATTACTTTCTAAAATTCTCAGGGTCTAGAGAAAACAGGCTAGAGGTGTTTTTGGTTTTTGTTGTTGTTGAGACAGAGGCTTGCTCTGTTGCCCAGGCTGGAGTGCAGTGGTGCGATCCTGGCTTACCGCAACCTCTGCCTCCTGGGTTCAAGTGATTCTCCTGCCTCAGCCTCCCAAGTAGCTGGGACTACAGGCACCTGACACCACACCCGGCAAATTTTTGTATTTTTAGTAGAGACAGGGTTTTACCATGTTGGTCAGACTGGTCTCAAACTCCTGGCCTCAAGTGATCTGCTCGCCTCAGCCTCTCAAAGTTCTGGGATTACAGACGTGAGCCACCATGTCTGGCCCAGGCTAGAGTTTTGGGAGGGATTTGTTTATTTATCTATCTATTTATTTATTGGGCAGTCTTGGAAAGGATTTATTGAATTTATTTACCTATCTGTCATCATGAGTAATTCTCAAATGTCTATCATGGAATCTTAGCACTTGGGGATCACACAATTTGTTATCTTGCCTGAGGACACGTAGGCCCGGGGAGATGAAGTGACTGGAACTGGGGCCTTCTGCTTCATATTGCATTTCTACTCTCACCCCTAGGAGAACAGGTAAAAGATAATTTGTGTTGAGCGAGGGGTTATGAAGAGACAAATGTTTCTAATAAAAGGAGGGTGTGCGTCTCTGTGATGAGACAGAGTGTTCTGGCTTTCATGGTTTTCCCTGTCTGAAAGTAACAAGCTCTAGGTTATAACAGTGAGGAATGGAGGATGCACAGATGGCTCAGACAGTGACTTGGAGTTCAGGTTGACGTTTCAGGTTGACTTCTGTTACAAAGAATTTAGAGGGGGCCACGTGCAGTGACTCACGCCTGCAATCCCAGCGCTTTGGGAGGCTGAGGCAGGCGGATCACTTGAGGTCAGGAGTTCAAGACCGGCCTGGCCAACATGGTGAAACCGTGTCTCTACTAAAAATACAAAAAATTAGCCGGATGTGGTGGTGGGTGCCTTAGTCCCAGCTACCCGGGAGGATGAGGCAGGAGAATCGCTTGAACCTGAGAGGTGGAGGTTGCAGTGAGCCGAAATCACACTACTCCACTCCAGCCTGGGCGGCAGAGTGAGACTCTGTCTCAAAAAAAAAAAAGAAAAAAAAAAAAGAATTTAGGGGGCGTTGTAAGGGGGCGTTGTAAGGGGGTGTTGTTTATGAGTGTGTGTGTGTGCGCGCACATGCGTGTATGTGTGTCTGTGTGTGTGTGCACATGTGTGTACAGTTTCACTGTCTACCACTGCTTTCCCCTTTGCTGACCTGGACTGGCCCGCTGGCTTTCCTACCAGGAGCTCTCTAACGCAGTGTCCACTGCTGTTCTCAGTGAGGCCCAGCACTGTCCTGGTGAAGCTGGAACGACAAAGTGTAACAGGTGCTGTGGTTTTTGTGTGGGGGTTGTAGGATCAGAGAAGTTTAGAGTTGGTGGGGCACTCAAGGATGGATAGAAAACTTCTGTTTGGGTCTCTGCAGTGATGGAGGAATGTGGACTTTTAACACCAGAGTAGCAGCTGTATCTTGAGCCCCTGTATCATGTCAGTCTCTGTGTTAGATTCTTTAACAGCCAGAGTTTTGTTAATCCTCACAGTTTTGCAGTGTTGTTAAATCAGAGTGCAGAGTACAAAGGGAGGCTCAGGGTGGTTAAGCGCTTTGCCTGGTGTCGCACAGCTAGCAAGCGGTGGAGCGAGGAGCTTGACTAATACCGCAGTTTTCCACTTCCATGGCACGCTGCCTCCTTCTGGCATTCAGTGTGGAAAGCTCTCAGTGCTGGGAGTTGTTCACTCTAGAGTGGGCACCTTTCTTAGAGAAGGGATTTCTTGGAGAAAGATTGCAGGGTCTTCTCTAATGATTACAAGAAGGGCAGAGTCCTGTGGACACAGTTGGAGGTCTTGTCTGGAGGCAGTGGAATGAGCCAGGTGGCCTCTTGGAGCTTTTTCAGGAGGGAAAGCTGTAAAGGAGAGGAGATGGGACTCTACCTTCGATCACTTGGAACGTGGTTGGCTGAGGCCAGAGAGCATCTTTCCATACCTTCCCGGGAGCCACCCCACACTCCTCAGGCCTTTGTTTCTGAGGTTCTCTCAGAACCACTGCAGGCAGAGCCGGCAACGCATCCTGATGTTATGGGATGAATGGGGACAAGGGGCAGGGCAGCAGGCCGGGAGCAGGCGAGGTTAAAGACCACCTTAGTGAGTTTTCCCTTCCAACAGACTTCCCCTGGCCCCCCCTGGCTTTGTTCATCTTGAACTCCCTTCACCTCTTCTGCTGTTTCATCTCTTTCCTTCAGTCCACCCTGGATCTCCTTCCTTTAAAACTGAATCCTCTTTCCTGAAGTGAAAAGAAGGAAATCCTGACTCCTCAGATCACTGTCCTGTGAGATGAAAGTTGCTCTTCCAATTTGTCCCATTTTCTTCAACCCTTCTTCCTCTCGGTCCCTGCTCCACACTCACCGCTGGCAACCACTGAATCTGAGACCCTCCCGCACACTTTCTCTGCATGTCTTCGGACGCTTTATTTACTTAAGCCAACCACAGGCTCTGAAGGGTGGCAGTGTCACGTTAGGGCCTTTCGAGGGAGCAGAGGGCCTTTGTCAGAGTCTGCAGGTTGTGGGGATAGTGACTGGCCTGGAGTCGGGGTGAAGCAGTGGGAACTGTAGAAGAAAGGGGAAGGAGGGCAGGGCAGCATGGATGCTGGACCTGTCTCCTCTTCAGCCTTTCGGACTCTGCCTTCCCTCTCCTGGGAGGCCACACAGTCTTGACCGCTTCAAGAGGGTGCCTCCTTGGGCAGCACCTACTCAGGGAGCCAGTCTGCATAGTTAAGTGGTTGGAAAAAAGACTGGAGAGCCAATCAGGAATGCTCACTTGTGGTCAGTGTGAATCCTGCCTGACCCATGTTCAGAGACACCATAGAATTGTACAGAACCTTAGGTATCAAACTGGGTTTTTGAGATCCCACGTTCCTGGTGAGAATATTCTTCTGTTGATGTGCTAGGAAACGTTTAATCCAAGTGAGAAACACCAGATAGGTAGTGTTTGCGATTTCTGTGGTGGAAATACTCCCACCGTGGCTAATTCCAAGCTGCTGGTGTGGTCACTGGAGGCGGAGTTGAGAAAAGGTGTACACAGTGGTGCGAGCCAGCTCCAGGGCACCGTGGCTTCTGAACGCAAGTGTGGAAGCACTAGGAGTCCTAGTTGCTAGGCTCTAGAGTGGAAGTTGAATCCTTGGTGGGGCTATCAGTAAGGTGGGGAGATCATTTTCTCACCAAATCAAAACACAAAACCCTGGCTGTGTTGTCTTTCTTATTCTCATGGCTGGTTCTTGATTGTGGCTAGCACCACGGCTATTTCAGGATCCCACTCATACTGCTGCCATTGGTTGAATGCTTACATCCATTATCTCATTTAGTCATGACAGTAATCCCGTGACATAGGGACTAGTATTATCTCCATTTTGCAGGTGAGGAAACTGAGGCACAGAGTGGGTCAGTAATTTGCACAGGGTTCTACAGCCTTTGAGTGGTAGAACTGAAATTTGAAATCACAACTGTCTGATCCCAGATCCCAAATCCTTGCCCAGTATATTGTACTCGCAGTTTTGTAGCTTTTCACAGATATCTCCAAATTCTGAGTCTACTCTCAATGCAGGGTCCTCTGGTGTAACCTTTGTTCCTGTTGGCAACCCTTCATTTTGGGCTGTCAAGATGCATTTCCTGAGATGTGAAATGTCATGACCCTGTGTTTGGTAAGTTTGGCTGCAAGGTACTGGCTGTCCTCTAAGACACTTCCTGAGTCCCAGGTCCACAGATTTCACTGAGGATTGAAATGGCTGCATTCTTCATAGACACTGAGTTTGCCTGTTCCAAAAATGGTGATTTCTATAGCAACCATTTATTCTAGCAGATGTGTGCCTGGTATGGTTGGCAGAGAGGGTGGGATCAAAAATGGAAACGGCCTTTTATTCTTCACTTCCTGAATGCACGCCCTGTATGTGAGGCATATAGGAGGAAAAACATGGCATCCTTAGAATCTGTAATAGATCTATGGCTCAGGAAAGAAATACGTGTTGCTTCAGACTGCTTTTTATCTGGAATTTGAGTTGGGCTGTGTTTGGTTTGTGGCGTGTTCTTTGGCAGATGTACCTGTTGGTTTCAATTCAATGGATGTTTGTCATTTGGTCTCTGCAAAATATGCACATTTACTGTGGGGGTAGGTGGCTAATAAACAGAGAGAAGACACTGGCTTGGCTCTTAAAGATCATGACGTCTATGTAAATGTATATTACGTAGGGCTTTTTTTGGTGGAGAGTAAAATAACCAATTTATGGCAGCCTAAGTTAAATAAGAGGATTTAATATCATAATAAAGGAGGGTTTTATGGAGTCCAGGGCCAGGAGCATGGCCTCATCTTTGAAAGGCAAGTGGACGGAACTAAGAATGAGCTGTTAGAAACTTAGGTGGAATTCTCTCTCTCTTTCTCATGCTTGTTTAGTCTTTGTACCTAGTTTCATTTTCACCTCCCTGCAGACCACAGAGTCGAAAAATGACCACCCCAGGCCTCCCAGGCTTACATGTGACCAGGCTGGATTCATCTTTCCCTGTGTGTATCCCAAATTCGAGAAAGAGGTGCAGTCTGTCTGGTGCAGCTTGGATAGTTATCTCCTCTTGGCCAGTCACTCACCGAAGGCTTTATGGTGAGTGTTGTTTATCTAAGTCTGCTCAGGCTATCATAACAAGATACTACGGACTGGGTGGCTCAAACAACAGAAATTTATTTCTCACAGTTCTGGAGGCTGGAAAATCCAAGATTAAAGTGGCAGCAGATTTGGCTGGGGAGGGCTCTTTTTCTGGTTTGTTGATGGCCTCCTTCTCGCCGAGTCCTCCCAGGGTGGAGAAAGAGACAGTGAGCTGGTGTCTCTTCTTACAAAGACACTATTCTATCAGATCAGGAACCCACCCTTAGGACCTCATTTAATCTTAATTACTTCCTTATGGGTTCTGTCTCCAAATAACAGTCACATTCGAGATCAGAGCTTCAACATACTAATTTTAGAGGGGTACAATTAAGTCTACAGCAGTCACGTAGGATAATATGGCTGCTGAGATCCACTCTTGGGCCTCGGGAATGGAATGGGGCTCATTGGTTCCCCCAGAAGGAGACCACTGCAGATGAGAAAGTTGAACACCCTGCCAAGACAATGTCATGTGCCAGATTAGAATCTAAACCTGATTGTCGAACTCAAACACGTTGCACTTGGGGTGAATAGCACTGCTGTGCGTGTGTGTATCCATATACTAGGTGTGTGCATATATACACATATGTACAGGCATATATATACGCATACGTATGTATACACATGTCTGTGTGTGTGTGTGTGTGTGTGTGTGTGATTAGAGAGGACTTTCTGGAAAAGGAATATTTGAGGGTGGCCTTGGGTTCCTGTTGGCTGTGAACACACTCCAAATAAGCTGCCCTGTGTGTCAGTTTACACATGGTATTTGAAATTGAGTCTAAATTCCCATTTCTTGTAGTTTCTGAGGAACAGTCAAGAAAGAGCCAGATTTACAGTTTGCCAGTCTCTTAGCTCTATGTTCCAAAGGAATTAAGTCACTCTTCTTGACAATGGCCTTAAAATAGGGTTTTAATAAAATGAAAAGAGGAGCAGTGGAGCCACCCACCCCTGTCACCTATGGCTAAATGGATATACGGGCGCCAGGCTGCTACGGGAGCCTTTTGTGGCGTCTCCTCCTGTGCCAGTGGGATACGTGCCGCAACAGAGACCAGATGATGAATATATTTTTAAACTTGGAACCCATGAACCACTTATTATTTCTGAATTAGGAATCAAAACATATGAATAATTTCAACAGGGTTTCAGCAGATGTATTCTGCTTTTAAGGTCACTCTGCTTTGGGGAGATGGTCGGGGGTAACGGGGAGTGAAGTCCAGCCTGATTCTCTTCATGACTCTTAGGACATCTGTGTCATGTTTGCTCAATTTAGCAGTCACCGTAAGTGTGATGTGAGGCCCTCATCGTGGGGTCAGAGTAACTCATGGAAGTAAACAGGCTTCTTTATTTTTTAATACATCACTGTCACCCGCGCTTTTGCCAGGGGTTGTTAGAAGAAGAGGGGCTCTGGGTGGCCATGTGTTCATGGCTATGATGACTGAAAAGGCCACAGCATGCAACAGAGTCCTCAGATTTACCACCAAATGCTTCTCCCACCCTCTCTTCTCTCTTAGCATCTCTTCCCTGAACCTCTTTCCCCAACCCCCTACCAAACAAGGTCCGGAACTGAGGTGCTCTGGAATTCCAGTCTTGCTAAGCTCTGGGATTAAGGCCAGTTATTTGGAAAGGGGATGGAGGAATAGGAGGGGAAAAAAAAAAAAAAAAACCAAAAACCACCCAACATTAACCCCTTGGGTCCTTAGCACTGAGAAGACCTCACCATTTTGGCCACTGGCAAATCAGCATCTCTTGGCCATATCCCCGAAACCTGAGCTTCATGTACCAGAAGAAGACAGTTAAGCCAAGTCAGGCTGATGAAAATCTCTCCGTTCTAATGACTGTGCAGGGTACACCTGTTCCAGCCTCTCACTTGCTCTCATTGTCAGTTGGACACAGGTATTGAATGACCAGTGAGTGTGGAGTGCAGCACGACCGGGCTATGGAGGAGGAGAGTTCATGAGCAAGAAGAGAGAAGCGGACTCTTGACCTCAGGAAGCTTGCACTGTGTTTGGGGAGGCACGGTCATGCCCACTCTCTTGCTCTCCCAGCACAAAGGGAGTGGGTTAAGCGGTGGGAGGGAGGCAGATACTTACTGGGCCTGACCCTCTTCTTGGGGTCAGCCACAGATCCCAGATCCTTTACCTTCCCCATCTGCCTGCTTTCCTTTAGAGTTTTGTTGGAGTTAAAAAACAAATGACAGGCCAGGCGCAGTGGCTCACGCTTGTAATCCCAGCACTTTGGGAGGCTGAGGCGGGTGGATCACAAGGTCAGGAGATCGAGACCATCCTAGCTAACACAGTGAAACCCCGTCTCTACTAAAAATACAAAAAAGTTAGCCGGGCGTGGTGGCGGGCGCCTGTGGTCCCAGCTTCTCGGGAGGCTGAGGTAGGAGAATGGTGTGAACCCGGGAGGCGGAGCTTGCAGTGAGCCGAGATAGTGCCACTACACTCCAGCCTGGGTGTCAGAGCGAGACTCCGTCTCAAAAAAAAAAAAAAAAAAAAAAAAAAAAACAAACAAACAAAAAAACAAATAACAGCAGTAGCAGTAACACACACTCATTTTAACAACAGTGGCAGTACAACGATATCTGTAAAGAGTTAACAGTATTCCTTATTTGCTCTCTATTTCAACTCTCCTCTAGGGAAATGAATGTGTTTTATTTTATGAAATAATTTCAAGCTTACAGAAAAGTTTCAAGAATAATACAGAGAGCACCCATATCACCTTACCCATTTGGAGTTTACTGATTTTTAATAGCTTGCCCCACTGCTTTCCTTCCTGATCTACGTAACCATAGAGCAGCCTTTCGAGGCGGGAGACAGGTTTCTGTTTTTCTGTGTTAGAGGTGAGAAAGCTGTGGCCCATGGAGCTGAGGAGTGTGCCCAAGGTTATCTAACTATCCGACAACAGGTTTCCCACACAAATTCCCCATGATGTCATTCTTGTTTTCATTTTTGTCTTTCCTCGTAGGAATTTTTTTTTTTTTCCCATCAAGGCTGCAGAAGGGGCCTGTCTTTCCTTCACAAGGAGGAGATGGTTGCAGGAAAGTAGAAGGTAAAAGGCGTCCTCCCAGTCTCCTCCCCTAGATCAATGGGCCCTCACAGCTTCCTTTGGTTTTCCCTCTAGGGCAGAAGCAGGACTGGCTGGAGGGGGTGCAGGTGCTGTTTGTTGCAGGAGCGCCATCTTGCTTTAGACCTTTGTCGTTTCAGACAGCTAGAGGAGGTCTTTGAGGGTCCTGCTTGACCCCAATAAAGGAAATTCACTCCCCAATACATGTGTGTTTTCACATGAAGAGGCAACAGAGGGAACAAAATGAGCAAAGCAGCACTCTCATGAAGAGGTGAAAAATATCACTGCCTTTTGGAGCCAGATCTGGATTTGCACACTCCAACTCTTGCAGTGATGTGTCCTTATTTGTAAAAGGTGAGGTCTGGAGTACGTTGGGAAGCAAGTCGTCAGTCATATCCACAGCCTCCTGCCCCTGCCAAATGTGTCCTCCTAGATGGAAAGGTTGGGACAAGCTGGGCCCCATAGGTTCTGCCATTTTTAGGATCGTTCTGGCACTGAGCCTTTTGCTTCTGTGATCTCTCATTGGAATCCATTCCTTTTGCCCAGGCGTGGAAAATGCTTTTGTCTAATGCCAGCTCTGCCCCATCTGGTCTTCAAACGAGGTGAATCTGCTGCTCTGTATTGAAATATGTGATCTAGAAGGAGCCATAAAATACGAACCTTAAGAACTCTTTCTCTCTGTTTCATTATCCATGCAAGGTTTTCTTGGCAGCTGTCCATTCTGGCCTCTTTCTCACCTCTGGGACATGTCAAGTTATTGAGGTGGTAGTGGTTGTGGGTGGCTACAGGTCTGGGCCAGCCTGTTCAACTGGGTCTTCTGGGGTTGGTCCTAGGTAGAGCTGGGTGGATGTAGTCTAGAACAGAGAAAGTAGTGAGGCCCTTCACATCCATTTTAAGGAAGCTGAGTGTTGTTGTTGAGAGTGGCCCTGGTATTGTCTTCATCGAGGATGGGGTTAGGGATCTGGCTGCAGTGACACTGGTGAGGTGAGAGGTTGAAGGGAAGGTCAGACATTACTGTTTCTTGAGCGAGGTTCTGAAAGTCTATTCCTTAAAGACTTTCACAAACTGGAGGGAGCCCCTGTGTGTCCTTGGCTGAAACTAGAGGCCCAGGTTACATGACCTTGGGAGAGAAGCCACTCATGGCCTGAGGACCCAGTGAGCTCCTTGACCCAGGAGGGGCCATCCTGTTTTCTCCCATTCCCAGTTGACTCTAGAATGCAGTCTCTGCCTGACAAAATTGTGGTTATTTTGAAATCAGCTTGTCATGTTCCTTGATTGTTTTGGGTGTAATAGCCTCTTCTCCGCAGCAGGTTGTAAGCATCTTGAAGGCCAGGACCTTGTCCTTTCATCTTCCATTGGAGCAGAGGTTAGGGAATACTGGCTTCTGGACCTAGCCTTGGGCCCCAGGGTTAGCACTCCCTGGCTCTTGCAGTTCCCCCTTGCCCCCCAACTCCACCATTCCCCTGGATCACCATCTTGGTGACAGCAGTGTACCCCCTTCATCTCAGCATGATGGTGTGAGGGGGTCATGTGCATTTTCAAAGCCTTTCCTGTATGATGTACCCTCCTGGTGCGGCTCCTCTCATGAGAATCCCTATCCTAGACGTCTCTTCTCCTCCACTGCAGATCAAGGGGTTCTCAAAGTGACCTGCTGAGCCACGTGCATTGGACTTCCATGGGTGCATGTGAAAATTCCTCACCGATGGGTCAGAATCAGAATTCCTGGAGTGGGAGCAGAACTCTGTATTAAATAAGCCCCCGTAGATAATTCCAATGTACACTAAAGTTAGAGAACCACTGGAATGGTCTGATGTCCCTCACACTCCCCACCCCAGTACACATACACACATGCATGCACACACGCATACACACTCTGTTAAACGGCTGCTTCTGCG